CGGTTGAATCGTACATTTGAAAGCCAAAACTCTTCCTTTCCATTTTATGCAAATTTAGAACTTATTGAAAATTGTTCACGTTTCGAACTGTGAAAAGTTCGATGTTTCAAATTTGCAGATTTCCCCTATAAATGTGTCTGTACTTTCGTTATTTGTAGAATCTTCTGGCGGTTGAACCGTACATCTGAAAGCTAAAACTATTCTCTTTCTTCCATTTTTTGCAAATTTGAAATTTTGGGTGTTCCAAAGTTGAAGATTTCGAGTGCAAAAGAGTGTTAAGCGTTTTAAAGCATGAGATTTCGTGGATCCAGTTCTGTTCTTGACGTTCCGTTAAAAAAAATGAAATCTTCAAATTGCGTTTCAACGACGAAAGTCTTCTTGTTCTTTCACTTCTTGTCGATTTAAAGTCGATGAAAATTGTACACGTTCTGAACTAAAAAACTTCTGGTGATGAACAAAAACTTTCTCATTCTTCTATTTTAGACAGATTGTTGTGACAGACAGACCAAACGATCGTTTTAAATCCTGGTATTTTTTGAGAAAAATTCGCGCTTGCGACGTGGTTTCAGAAACTGTACTGAAAAAGATGTAATTTTAGCCCGAGATTTTTATTAGATATTACAAACAAAAAATCGATATGTTAAATCCCACAAAATTTCTCATGTTTTAAATGACTCCAGGCCTTGGCCAGACCAAAGCCAAGTAACAGCAAAATTAGATTCCTCGATCTAAAAAATCTAACGCAAGTTTTTTTGGTTGTAGTAAATTTGGTTAAAATTCTATAAAAAAAGCTAAAATTTTACATGATCCCCTGTTCTTCGGAATCCATTGACATTCGAATGAGACAAATTTTCCTAAATCGCTGTATTTTTGCTTAGACAGACAACAAACTTAAACAAATTAACTGAAAACACCCTAAACGGCCTTTTATTACAGTATATCAAAGAGAAATGATACATAATCCAATGGAGCATGATACACATTTATTTTTATTGCGTTCTCCGAGCCCCAGTTGGGGAATACGGACACAGAGGCTCTAAGAACACTTTCAGAGTCCGAAAAAAGCACTTTTGAAATTCTCCTCACGAAACAATGTAGCGCCAGCCTTTAACCTCGTGTTCCCGACATAAAACATCCTGGAAATTAATTCGCCCCGAACGAAATGGAATCCTGATAATTGAAATATGCCGAACAATGGGGCTTTTTCGAAACGTCCGTCCTCCACATCCAAGGTCTCAATGGAAAGTTTTCAAAGTCAGATGCTGCTGGATGAATTAATTGCTTGTGCATTGCAATGCCGTTCAATTCCTCAGCTCAGATTTATTGTGCGGATTTAGTTTCAATCGATTCCGGGTTGTAAAGTTTTTAGACTTGATTAATCAGGGCTTAATGCAGGCCCAAACGGCTTAACTGCGTGGCTAAACTGCGTTTATACACCAATATTTGCAGCAAAAACTCACTTTGTTTGTACCGTATGTAAAATTGCCAGTCTTTTGAGTGATTAACCGCAAAAATAAAAAGTAGTTGGAGATTTTTCGGTCGTTTCGGTCGTATGAATTTGGTCCTGGTGTGTACGCGCTTCGGGAGACACACTTCTGAAGACGCCAGCCATGCGAGCGAGTGAAACGTCAGTACCACATTCCTATCGACGACGACTTAATAACGCAAAAAATCTCCCGATTAAGTTGCCATATAAAATTCAAATGGTTAACAATCGTTGTTTGCATGTCTACCGAAAGGATTATCATCCGAAACCGGGCAGATCAGTGCGAGTTAATCCAGCATTTCCATTGACCAAGTCGAAAGAGAGAACGCGACTGGGCTGTACGGAACGACTGGTCCAGATTAATGTTAAAGCCACTGATGGAAAAAGCAAAGCGAAAACTCATAAGAAAGATGCCGAGACTGATACGCGAAATAATGGCGATAGACTGGACAAGCTCGTACAAGCCAGTGCGGATTATTCGGTTAAAAGCCCGGAAATTGGGAATCCGACAGCAGAAAGCGAGGAGTCAGCTCAAACAGATGGAAAGAACCTGGCGTGGTTGGAGAAGGTATTTTAAATGCGCGTAGATGAAGCATGATGATTTTTCTTAAAAATGCATGTGATGTTTTCAGTTTCCGGAAACAGGAAAACAATTTATTCGGCCGCCCCCACTTGAGAAAATTAAACTCTAATGAAGTTGCCTTTAATATGTTTAACAAAGATAAATTCTCCACCCCAGTGTCTAGCTGACGCTTTATCGCACCCCTTTAATGTCTCGACGAAAATGCAATAAGAGAACTTGGGGAATTGGGGACACGAATAACAAGAAATAGTTGGCGTTCCGACTGTGTCACTTCATTTGGATTCTAATTTTACAAACATGTTGGATTCACTAAAACATTTTCCAGATAGGAAAAAAGCTCCATTAGCTGGAATGTACAAACATTGATTTTGCCGCACAAAATCGCCCCTTATTGATAAAGATTTTCCATTTACTCGCGTGAAAGAAATCTCACCGTCAGGCCCAATAAATGCAAATGAACTTTTTGGGCTATATTGCAAAAGACACCAAATCAGACAGATTTTTAAAATTGTCCTCGATTTGAAATTGAAATTATCGCCCGGTCTGAAGTCGAAGAAAAACTGTTGCGGTGAAATGATACATTGTCCCAAATGCTGTCATCTTACGCAATTTATTGCCCATTGGGTAAATAAGTAAATTCGGCTGAAAAAGCTCCAAGAGCGGAAAATGGTAATTCAATTCGTTGAACGATCCACATAATTCCTCAATGTATGACACACCATTTATTTTAATTTTGCAAGCGGGTTTTTAAATTTTCATTTCTTTTCAGTGTGCGACTTTCGGGCGTGGCCTTATGCATGATTCAGTAGATCTTTCATTGTTCTACGAGTCCTGAAAATTGCATGATGGTAGTTTTGAATAGATTTGTGCGAATTTTTTTTAGCTGCCGCTGTCCATTCCAAATGGTTTGGGTCACCTTGCACATATTGCAGACTAGTTTTCAAAAATTCGTTTCTGCTAAATGCGTTATACTAGAAAGTTGCTTTAGACATGATTGAGTAGATCTTTCTTTGTTCTATTTGTCGCAAAAATGTCATCCCGATGGGAGTTTCGGGCAAATTTCTGGAAATTTTCGAATATGAAGTTGTCAAATAATCTGTTCCAAGTTGCACATTTTGAAGACTAGTTTTTGAAAGTATGGTTTTGCTAAGTGTATTCTACTGGGAAGCTTAATGCACCGCTCCATAGAGCCTGTTGTTCTCAAATTGTCCTGAAAGCTTCATCGCAATAGGAATTTTTCACGAATTCGAAAGAATTTTTGAAAATGCTGTTGCCTTGTGACTGCAGTCTATTTTGTCCGATTCAAAAATTAATTACTCTTAAATGTGGTCTTGCCCACAGTGACTTTATAGATAACTGTATAGAGCTTAAGTTTCTCTATATGTGTTGAAAGTTTCGTCACTTTCAGCGCGTTCAATAAACTTCTTTGAAACTCTCAATGGCAAATCGTCTTTTTCATGCTTGGAATTTCGCCGACTTTTTTAAAGTACCACTGTCGAATCGCCTGTTTCAAGCCTCAGATTTCAGATACTAGTTTTCACAAATTCTACAAAGACTATAAAGTTGGTTTTTAGACCGTTAAATTTTCTTTTTTGATATGCCCGGGAAGTTTCTTTGCAATGGGAGTTTTGACCAATTTGGGCAATTTAAAAAAAAAATGCCACTGTGCACAAAAAAATATCAAATTTCGCTTTCAGTTCCCTGTACGGCCTGAAAGTTGCTTTGGAATGGGAGTTTCTATTGTAATTGTACCTAATTTTGTAAACTGTTAGTGTCGAAACGTCTGTCTCAAGGCATACCTTTTCAAAAAAACAGCTTCTCTCAAATGTATTCTCCTTTACGCGTTATTGTCTTGAGCTTTATTTGCTTTATCTGTACTAAAAGTATAATCGCGATGGGAGCTTTTGACGAAAATTGACGACTCTTTGAAAATACCATTGTTTTATCGTCTGTTAAAAACCGAAAATTTTGAGGTCAAATTTTGAAAAATTAATTTCTTCTAAATTTATTATTCTATGACGTTGATTTTCACAGAGTTTAAAAGAGCTTTTCTATCGCTATGTGCCCTGAAGATTTCTTTGCAATGTTAATTTTGTGCAAATTTTTGCGATTTTTGTAAAGTGGCAGTGTCAAATCGTTTATTTCAAGCCGCACATTTTCTGGCGTTTTTTCAAAAATTGTCATGCTTTTGTAGGAATTTTCGAAATGAGTTACTTTGTACATAATAGCAATAGCATAGCGCCTTTTTTGCTTTATCCGTTCTGAACATTTTATCGCGATGGGAGTTTTGGACGACTTTTAACGAAGTGTTGAATATACCACTATCGAATCCTTTATTTCAACTTCTGCATTTCTGCAATTTTGGAGATTTCTTTTCGAGCTGCACACTTTGCTGCCTATTTAAAAAAATAATTTCTCGTCAAAAAACTCTACTACAAATTTGGTAAATACACAATTACATAGAGCTTAATTTTTGCTCTACGGGTGCTGAAAACTTCATCGCATTGCCCGATTTTCACAAAATTTGACGAATTGAATTCAAGTAAAACGACTTAAAAGTGCGGAAAACCCACAAAGAAATTTGACTGAGTGAAGCGTGCCGAAACGCCCCTGCAGACCTGCACTTGGAAAATTGCTTGTCAATACTTGGGAAACTTCGGCCAGTCAGCGAAGTTTCACTCGGAAAAGCGCAGCATGGCTTAGTTGGTTCAGGCAGCTTTGTCAACCACATGCTGGTTTAATAGCAAAGGCAGCGAAATACTTGCTACCTAAATGTTTCAATTCATTGTTGTTCTACAACGTGATCCAATCATCCGGGGCCGTCTGTCTCAAAAAGCTGACAAATAATGCTTATAAAAATTGAATTTGAGGTTGGAGGCTCTGGGTGCACACCAATTCGAGAACGTAGTCACTCAGTTTGGACTGTTTCAGTTACCAGACGGAGTGCAGTTGACACTGACCGAGCTGCGCGACATGGCGTGCAGGCAGCAGGCGCAGATCGACTCGCAGCACCAACTTCTAGCCGCCAAAGAGCAGCGCCTGCGCTACTTGAAGGAGCAGGATGCGCGAACGCAGCGCGTCCAAGCCGAAAGCGAGCGACTGCGCCGCTTGCGCGACCGCGTGGAGGCGCAGGAGCTGAAGCTGCGCAAATTGAGAGCGCTGCGCGGACAGGTGGACCATCAGAAACAGAATAACATTAGTCTCAGTAAGTCTGTGGAAACTGTTAAATTATCTGCAGGATTTTTCATTAACATGGCGACTTAGATGTCATCTGGGGAACAATGCACAAAACAATGCCAATTTGTAGCATTGAACTTCATTATTTCTCGCACATTTCCGGTTTATGAAAAATAGCTGGCTGCGGTGGAAAACAGTAATGCACTGGTGTAACGGCCCTGTTTTTTTCCTGCAGCAAGTGACCTTGATTCAATTAGAGCGCTCTTCAATGAAAAGGAGAAGGAGCTATCGCTGGCTGTTGCCAAAGTGGAAGAGCTGACACGACAACTGGAAGAGTTGAGACGAGGGCGAACGAATAGAGACCCACCGCCGGCCTCAGCTTTAGAGCTAGACAAATTGAGACGGGAGCTAATGGTAAGTTTCAAAGCAAGTAAAAACGTGTGTTATTGATGGGGCTCGCGCTCTATTTGCTTGCTTATTAAGTGGGAGAGTATCAATCAAAAGTTTTTCTGCCGATTGATTTCACAAGGGTTCTAAGGCGGAGAGGAAAGAACGAAGGGTGAAATAGCGGGCCAAACGAGAGATTTTATCAAAGCATCCGTATATCTCAATAAATGTTCCTGTTGCTTCTTGACTGGAAGACAATGGGGAGCTAACATGAGGGTTGAGATGATTTTATTAACTTTCTTGCCTTTGAGAATGTAATGGAGCATTGACAAGCATTGAAATAATAAACAAAAAATTGCCTTAAATTGTCTTCCATTACTCAAATTGTACAATGTCTCTTTTTCAGCAACATCTTTCAAACGTTTAGCCAGCAAGAGTGATTTGCACCCTCAGAGCATACACTGGCCTGATGTGTCAGATTATCACAAAGTTTCAGTTGGTTGTTTCTCCAAACCATTTTCAGCGCCTGGCACCTCAGCCCAGTGTAAGCTTTCCAGCGAGGCACGCCTCTGAGGATGCGAGCCATTCGAGCTGGTGAAACGTCTGGATTTTTTTCCCTTAAAAAGACCAAACATTCCATATATTCCTAGTTTGAGAGCGATGAAAATCTCGAAAACACACAAGAAAAAAATCGATTTTTGGTATCAGAGAAGTGAATTGATTTTCAACATTCGTCAAACCGACGTTCTAATTTTTCACAATTTTTGAAGCTTGAAAATGAAAAAATTTAAATCCTGAAAAAAGCGTTTCAAGATTTGAATGGTTTCCCTCAAAAAAGGGTGAAATAAGGCAAAAAACTGAAAACTTTGGATTTTGAAAACAAAGATTTTGAGCAAAATAAATATACTCCTTTTCCTGCATTTTTCCGGCGACCGGAGCACTCAACTGGGATACAAAATGTTTTTAATTTGTAGTTCAAAAAGGAGGAAAACACTGAAGAATGAAAATAGTTTCTAAATGAACCAGCCTTGCTGGGAATTACTCTGGTTCTTTTGGGAAACTAGCGGTTCCATAAAAAAAATTCTTTGTTAGGCTGCTTTCCACATTGAGTCCATAACAATGCTTCAACATTTAACTGCAAAACACTACAAATCACCGCTAAAAGTAAAGCAAAATTAACAAAAGTTGTCACTATAAAGTAGCGTCGTAAACTAGCAGGCGAACTTAAAGCACCGACGGTTTATCGTATTCTGGAAAAACTGGCTGCCGACATTTAGAAAATATATTTTCCAGTATTCCCTTATCTAGACAGTGGATTTTACGATTAGAAGCGCACGTTTCCTTTGCCGGATTACGTGTGGAAAATGTCCTTTTGACCCGGCCTAACGATGTTTAATTGAAAAAAATAAAACAGAAAAATGCGTTTCCTTCAATATTCCAGTTAGTTGGCAACAGTTGGAAACGATATCCAGAAATATGGCTCAAATTACGCGGAACACTGGCCCCGAAATGGATAAATTCCGATGTAAATTCGATTTCGCCTGCTAGTTTATATGCCGCTGCATTGTCCATTTGCCGGCGAATTTTCCTCTCGAAGATGTTTGGTTTCATCGTGGAAATTCAATTTGGCAGCCAGACTCGCAAGAATTTGATAGGGAGATTTAGATTGCCCAACAAAGAACCGCCTTTTTCTCGAATGGAATTCACATATTTCAAGACAAAAATGCAGTTTTCCCTTAATTGATTACAGTTTCGAAACAAGCTAAACGAGCAACAAAATCAAAGGCTTAACCAGCAAAGGGAGGCACTTACTGCCAGACAGGAGGAAATGAGCGCTATCGATAAAAGGATATCGGAACTGCAGGAAAGGCTGCAGAGGAAACGGCACCTCAACCAGCAGCTGGCGAGCCAAATTAGCGCCGCTTCGCATAAAGCTGCTTACCACCAATTTGTTCGGTAAGTCCTGTTTTTTTCTCATCGATTCCTCCCATTACTCTCGCTGTTTATATTTCGGTTGTAATATTAGGGTCAATTTGCAAACAGTTTGAAACTCTGAATTTTGAAGGAGGGAACGCAGTTGAGTCAAACCGTTTATTTTAAGGCCGATGTTTAGTAGGCTGTCAAAAGTCCGAATTTTAGAGCGATTTCTATGCAACTTTCAGCAACGTTAAAGCGTGTGCTAAAGACGGCGAAAATTTCAAGCTGCTACTAGTCTTAGTTTAGGAAATACGAATTTTTAAACAAGCGCCGTTGAGAACTAGCGTCGATTTATACATTAATTTTTCCAATGATTCTAAAAATCAGGTCTCTGGGCGATTTATGTGACACTTTTAACACCGTTAGCCCCTACTGTCTTAAAATGATTCAGAAAATTTCAAATTGCTAATTGCGGTATCTTAGAAGATGAAAATATTTAAAGAAAAGCACGATGTTTCGTACGCTTGCATAAATCAAGGGTCTGGACGATTTATGTGAAACTTTCAGTATCTTTAGCCCCGAGTGTCTTGCTTCATCTTGGAAGATGCTAATTTTTAAATAATGGAACGCCGTCGATTACGTCGATTTTTAAACCAATATAAACCAAGCTCGCAAAAATCACAATTCTGGGCGATTTACGTGAAACTTTCACCCTGTTTAACTCCTACTGTCTTTAAAAGATGCTGAAAATTTCAAATTGCTACTTGCTTGATCTTGGAAGATGCAATTTTTTAAAAGAAAGATAGATTTTGCAAAAATTTTACTCGTACTTGCGGAAAATTCAAATTCATCACCTAGTTCAGCAAGAGTTTTGTCAAGGCGAATGTTTTTAAGAACTAGATAAATATTTACTAAACCCAATTTTGTAGTCTCTCTAAGTAGCTTAATAATAAATAGAGCTTTATTTATACCCAGGTATAATCTTGCATCTAAAGCGTCATTTATAATGTTGTCTATTACGTTTCAAAACTACGGCTCATACAAGAGCGTCATTTTTCACTCCATAAAATTTTCCATGTCTTTTTCAAGCTGTGAAATAAAACAAACAAAAATTGCACATAATGAAGCAACGGTGAAACCTAAATCGAACGAACACACATGGTTGAGAACCCTATAAATGGTATTGCTTTTATGCGAACTTACATCTAAATGATCCTCACAGGCATAAATGTTACTTTTTGCAGAAAGATCGGTGCAGTTTCACCGCGCTGCTTTCAACCACAATTTCCGTTTCTTTTCGTTCAATGGCACTTTTACAAATGTTTTTTCCTGGTGTAGACGTAGTGGTACTTGTACACAATATTCACATTAGAGCAAGGAAACACGTATAAGCGCTGAAATGTGGCGGAGCAGAATCATGCTTCGTGACGTCACATTACGATCAGCCAAAACTCGTCGTTTCGGCGCGCTTTATCTAAGTTTAAACTTTGACTGCTGATAGATTTGTTACGACTAGACAAAATGTGAAAAAAAATTATAGGGCCCTTATTTGTTCGTCAATAATCAATTTTACGAAAGAGAAAAAATTGTGCAACGACCCCATTGCTACTTGCGATATCTTCGAAGATGCAATTTTTTAAAAGAATAGATCGCAGTTGAATACAAGCATCGATTTTTAGACTAATGTTGCCTAAGCTTGCAAAAATCACAATTCTGGGCGATTTACGTAAAACTTTCACCCTCCTTAACTCCTACTGTCTTCAAAAGATGCTGAAAATTTCAAATTGCTACTTGCGACATCTTGGAAGGTGCAATTTTTTAAAAGAAGAGCGCGCAGTTGAGTGCAAGCATTGATTTTTAGTCTAATATTTCCTAAGCTCGCAAAAATCACGATCCTGGTCGTTTTATATGAAACTTTCACCCTCTTTAACTTCTACTGTTTTCAAAAGATGCTGAAAATTTCAAATTGCTACTTGCGATATCTTGGAAGATG